TGTCGAGGAGAATGTTGTGGTGAGGGAACTGGAGTTCTGTAACCTTGTTGGTTCAGCTGATGTTGTGGATCTTCTTGGTGTGGTAAATTTTGTTGGTTGTTGTTGTTGACATTCGACATGATTGTTTTGATAAAAGAATCAACTTGGAAAGCAAAAGATTATCAGATTCCTGGTAACATAACCAATTTGTTTAACCAGAAAATAGGGATTTTAGTCAAAGCCTAATTTTAGAAGAACTCGGGTTACTGATAATCAAATAAGGAATAAATAAGAAGAATTATCTTAAACGATAGCTGAGTAAATAAAAGAAAGCAAAGTAAATCAGTGTATTCCAATAATATTCTCTGACCTTACAAATATTTATTTCTCTCTTTTTATAGCTATTTCTAAGTAATACGTTTCTTTCCTCTCACAACAGAGCCCTTATGAGCAATTAAAATATTCTCTGACCTTACAAATATTTATTTCTCTCCTTTTATAGCTATTTCTAAGTAATACGTTTCTTTCCTCTCACAACAGAGCCATTATGAGCAATTAATGGCATTAATGTAACGTTATAATTGGCGATCGTAACTGTTTCGTGAAGATTCTATAACGTTTTCCATTATTGATGCTCATTAATTACGGATAATACGTATCTGTACTTTTTACTATCTAGGTTCATTCCTCCGATGTCTTTTCAAATTGTCAAGAGGACCGAGTAACCGCTCCTTCCTGTTTTCTTGAATCTTTGTCCATACATATTAAGGCTCGTGTCTCTTCGAATACTACTTGCTAAATGTCACTCTTTCATTGATCCACGTGTCTTGACATGTCAGCACATAATTAATTCCATATATTAACTTGATTTTTCCCAATACAATAAGATAGTATGATTCTTTCGTCTTACAAGGAGTGATGAAAGTTGTTTATATGCTTTCTAGCGCACCAAATGGTGAGAATTTTTCTTAGCAATTTTCGACCTCTTTCTTAAGAGCTTCGTGTAAAAAGGTATTACAAACCTTTGTTATCCTTAAAACCTTTATCTCAATGAAAAATCTAACATATATCAAGGCTATTTAGCTAAAAATAAATCCAGAAAGAAAATAAACCCTCTTTACTAATACATGATTGGGTGTGACCATTCCTCCTTTTACCTTTTTTTTTTTGGCCTTCATTTGCTCTAAAAAGGAATTCACGAAAAGGTGGACTTGAAATAACATTGGTTCCTGTCTTCCAGACCTTATTTTTTTATAAAACAATTAAATAAATAAATGACCCATTTTCTTCCGACATCACTTGTCTGTAGAGCAGGAGTCTTACACACACATACCCGTGCAAAATCATTGTCTTCTCTTATTGTTTCCTCATCTATAGCATGGCATCATTAATATATTACTCCGTCCATTTACTTTTATTTGTCAATAATGGACTTTATACGTCTTTAAAAAATAATAAATAAAATACATATTTTATCATAATACCCATAATAATAATATTAATAATAATAATAAATAATATTTTGGGAAGTTTTGAGAAATAATATGTGAATTGAGTAATTATTGATGAGTGTAAAACATGAAATATATATATATATATATAATCTCCTCTTGATTTGCTAAAATTGACTAGTAAAAGTAAAATAAATTTTTAATATTGTGGACCAGCAAAAGTAAACGGATGGAGTAATTATTTATTTGTAAAATTCTATGGATATCTTTTCTGTATATAAAAAGTAATTCCTTCTAGTCCATTTTAGTGTCATGGTTACTAAAAGAATAGGTCTAAAATACTTATAAATTTAGAATATCAAGATATAATTAATTATTTTTTCATTCTATCTTTAGTATTAATTATTCTTGAGAGAAAGGAACATTAATTACATAGCATAGAAAACCAAAATATAAAGAGTAAATAGGGCGTAGTAATAAAAATAGTACAACAGTGTGTGACTGTGAACACAAATTGGGTATTATAACAAGCTCCTTTAATTAAACTTGTCCATTTCGCTTCCCGTTTCCTTGAAAGAGAGAATCCTTACATTAATGAACCAATATTTACAAATTTATCTACCTCTGCTACCGTGCTACGAGCAGCTTCTCCACCTAGCTCCACGATAGGAAAATGTACAAAATTATTCACAGGCCAAGGGAAGGCGAACAAAAGTGTCAAAATTACTAGTGCTTGGAATTCTGTGGCAAGACCTCCCACTTTGTTTTTTTCTTGATAGAGCAAAGAAAGAGGAGAATCTTAGACCAAATGTCTTTTTTTCTTGACCAAGTCTGTTATCTATCTCTTTCTTCTTGTTGTTTTTACATCAACAGAGAGTGTTGTTATTCACTTCAATCTCTCAAACATTATGTATTTTTCTATACTTGAAATTTTTTTAGTCGAGAGGTGAACTCGCCAGAACAATATATACAAGTTGCTTAGTTTTTTCTTAACGAGAATTTTTTTTTACCGAAATTTGTTGTAGAACGTCACGTGAAAAACAAAGCTCCAAAAACAAAGCCGAATATATTAGTCCAGAGTTCATCCCGACAGATGAACAAAAATTTACTGTTGTCAGTATCACAAGGAATAAAAATGTTAAGGGGACATGTGAAAATAATACATGTGATATAGTGATTATTATTATTAGGTTTTGGTTAATTCTGCATGGTGGCATGTGAATATGTGATTAGTTAATCATGCAATAGAATTTTCTAGAGAAAAGCTAACCAAGAAATAAGTTTGGCTGCAATCTCAATGATTTACCCAAAAAAGCAAAATAAAGGGCTGGGTCCTTTGGAGAAACTCTTTCTCCCTCCTAATTATGGCAGTCGTGTGGTTGATTCAAGAATTTTATGCAGCAGAGCAATCTCTTCTATAGTGTTGCATTTTTTTCTGGCGGATCCCTTCGGTTCATCGTATCGGAGTGATTCGAGAAGAACGATTAGATTCTTTTTAATCCAAACACTTCTTATGATCAAAGATCTAGTAACATATATTTTATTTGAATATATATATGCATAGGTAGATTCTTTCTTTTAATAGAAAGTTAGCGGACTCATCGGCGCCTTGATAACTTTGAATATAATCTTGAACAGAGCCTTTCATCTTGAGTCTATCTCATTTACTTTATGTTTAGAGCGGAGGTACGCTGATCATTAAAGATTGTAGTAGAATGAATATGATCTGTTCACTCTTAATAAAAAAAATTGAAATGGAAAAATCTTTGTAAATAGCGCTTGCCCTTATAATAAACTTTATGTGACGCGAATTCTGATTAAGCAAAACCCCAAAGCAGATAACAGATATTAAGTGGGAAAAGAAAAGAGAAAAAAAGAGCGGAGGCACGCTGGCTCCGAAAGTTCAATTTTCTATCGTTGGAGTTTGGAGTAATATAATTATTTAAGTTTTCTAACCGAAATCTGTAAATGTTCTGACGGAAAGTCATATTCACGTGTGATGACAGCAGTTAATAACTTGTTTTATTTTCGCCCCTTCTTCATCTGCATTCTTATTCATTGTTACTATCACTTGAAAAAAATTTGGAGCATTTTTCTTTACTTGATAAAGGTACAGTAAAACTTTGAACACAATATATATCTTTGTAAATTGTGGTAACATAACAACCTGGCTTTGTGAAGAATTTAACAATATGCAGATGAAGAGAGAAATTGAGATTGAGAATTTTCGAGAGAGAAATCAGAGAAGCTATGCTCTGTATATTGATACAACCAACTCACTGAAAAGACGAAGAAGCTACAGTATTTAATTAACTAACTGACAGATGTACATCACTAACACTAATTAATGCTATAGTTAAGTTAANCCTCCCTCAAGATAGGACTAGGAAAGATGTTGAGCAGACCTAGCTTGGACAGCAAATATGAATGCTGAAGGCGACCAAGTCCCTTTGTGAGTATGTCAGCTTCCTGCTCAGCTGTAGGACAATAGAGAGTAGAAACAAGACCATGTTGAATCTATTCACGAATGAAATGACAATCAATATCAATGTGCTTCGTACGTTCATGAAATACAGGATTGGCAGCAATAGCAAGAACTGATTTGCTATAACTGTAGATAGGCACAGAAGAATTATGATCCACTCCTTGCTCCTTGAGTAAACCAATAATCTATGTAATCTCTGCAATTGTGGATCTGTGATATTCAGTTTCAGCTGAGCTTCTAGAGATAGTGGACTGCTTCTTAGATTTCAAAGAAATCAAGGAAGAGCCAAGCTTGACGAAATAGCCTGTGACTGACTTTCGTGTGTTGAGATATGCAGCCCAATCTGCATCACAAAATGCTGAAAGTGATTCAGAACACTTAGCAGCCAAGAAAACTCCCAGACCAGGACTACTTTTGATATATCTAACCACCTTGAGTGCATCTTCCATATGAGAAATCTTGGGACGATGCATAAATTGGCTCAAACTTTGAACAGCAAAAGAGATGTCTGATCTTGTAACAGTCAAATAAAGAAGTTTACCCAAAAGCCTTTAATACTGCCCTGGATCAGTCAATAATGTGTCATCAGAAGTACCTGTATGAGTGTCAAATTCAGCAGTAGTGAGCTTCACATTTGGCTCCATGGGACAGGATACAAGTTTAGAGCATGAGAGCCCCAACTCAGCTATGAGTTCTAGGGCATACTTGCGTTGATGCATTAATATACCATCATTATTTCGTGCAAATTCTATGCCTAGGAAGTACTTAAGCTCTCCTAGGTCTTTGATCTTAAAAGAAGTTTGTAAGTCATCCTTAGTCTGTTGGATTATGATGGGATTATCTCCAGTGATAAGAAGGTCATCAACATAGACCAGAACAACCACCATGTGATCTCCTGACCTTTTGATGAACAGAGAATAATCTAACTGACTTTGTTGAAATCCAGCATCCATCAAGGCTGATGTGAGTTTGAGATTCCACTGTCTAGATACTTGCTTAAGTCCATAGAGGGACTTAAGCAGTTTGCAAACTCTGAATTCAGCTTTTGGTCCATTGAAACCTTGAGGTATCTCCATATACACCTCCTAAGATAGATCACCTTGCAAGAAAGCATTGTAAACATCTATTTGTTGAATAGACCACTGCCTTGAAACTGCAATAAACAACACACTTCTAGCAGTAACCATTTTCACCACATGTGAAAAAGTTTCTTGGTAGTCTAAACCTTCTCTCTGATTATACCCTTTAGCCACTAATCGAGCTTTTAACCTTTCAACTTCTCCTGATGCCTTATATTTAATCTTATAAACCCATTTGCATCATATTGCCTTTTGTCCTTGTGGCAAGGGATACCAGTTCCCAAGTCTTATTATCCTCCAATGCTTTGATTTTTGCCTGCATTGCTTCTACCCATCTTTTGTCCTTTACTGCCTCTGAATATGATGTAGGTTCTATTTCCACTGAAAACTTTGCCAAGTAGCTTTGATATTTTGAAGAGATAGCTTTATATCCAGTCACCTCTGAAATAAGGTACTTGCAGCAGCTTGCAGAACTTTTCTTGCCATCTCTGACATAACCCTTAAGCCATATGGGAGGCTTAGATACTCTTATGGATTTTCTAGGTTCCTCAATATCAGGCAAAATAAGAGAATCACCAGGACTACCCACACTGTTATATTTAACAGGGTATGAGATGTTCTACTCATCTGAGATAACTGGAGTTAGAGTAGGAGAACGTGGCATATTGGTTCCCTCAATATGAGTATCAGTAGCAGAACTAACTGCCTTCAGTTCTTCATCAAAATCTTGTCTTGGCACTGGAATTTTATCCAGGAATAATGATTCTGATGACCCTTCTACTGTGTGGAAAGGAAATATATCCTCATAGAACACTACATCTCTGCTTATAAAAAATACTTTATTCTCCAAATTCAAAAGTCTGTAACCTTTCTGATGTGCAGCATATCCTAGGAAGACTGACCTCACAACTCGAGGAGCAAATTTATCATGGCTTGTCAGATTAATAGTAAAGCATAAATATCCAACTACATTTAAATGTGTCAATGAAGGTGGCTTACTCATAAGTAATTCACATGGTGGCTTATGTCCCAAGACAGAGGAGGGAATCCTGTTGATTATATTACAACAGCATCAATCCAATGTCCCTTGTGAACACCTAATTTTTGCACTATTTTAACACCTCTTAAAGTTATTAGTGTTTTGTTATTTTAATTATTTTTCTCAATTTTTGTGACTTTAATTACATATTTCCTATCATAAAATACTAAAAAAAATAGTTCTTTCTTCATTTGTGCATTTTAAGAATTAACTAGTTGTTCAGTTGGTGAATTAATCTAGGTAATTGATCATTAGAATAAGTTATTTAATTAATTTATTTGTATAAAATTAGTTTAATAAGTAGGATTAAGGAAGAAATTTGGCCAAATTTGAAAGAAAAAGTGTCAAAGAGTGCAAGATAAAGGGCTGCCATTGAAAGGGTCTGAAACTACGTAGTTTTGCCTCAAAACTACGTCGTTTCACTAAATGAAACAAGATCAAATCATACCCACCCATTCCAACTTGATCAAATGGATCTCATTCACTCTTGGCTTAGGTACTTAAAGCCTCAAAAGTCTGAAAATTATCCTCATTTTCACCCATAATTCTTTTCTCCTTCTTCTCTCCTGTCTCTCTCTTCACTCTCTCTACGCCGCCCCAGCTCCGCCCACCGCCGCCGGCCGGAAATCACCGCCGCCGGCAGACCACCTCCAAACACCTCCAAATTCACACCATGTAATCTCCACAACTTCCTCTTTCCATATCTCCAAAGCAAATCCTTCAAAAATCTCTCAAACTCCTTGAATCTTAGATCTAGGAAACTTTTCCGTCACTTTTGCCCAAATTATTGAAGCTCCAACCACTACCGTACCACAATACCTACATTAATGGATAGAGCTCCCTAAGACCTAGCTATTGATGCCAATTTTACCCTGAAAATTCGGCGACCAAAATCCGGCCAAATTCCGGCGACCTCCCCGAACACCCTCTTTGGGCATACCACCATTTTTTCG